GTAGTCCCAGCTACTTGGGCAGCTGAGGCAAGAGAATGGCATGAACCAGGGAGGCGGAGCTTGCAGTGAGCTGAGATTGCACCACTGCACTCCGGCCTGGGTGACAGAGCAAGACTCCATCTCAAAAAGTAAATAAATAAAAATAAAATGTATCTATTTAAGGAAAATCTGGGCATTCCACACTGCTAATCCATAGAATGACCTATCCATTGGCCATGATTTTTCAATTATTTAGTTTCTTCAGAAATATAATGATTCAAAATAAGAACAATGTCTTTGTGGGTCTAAAAGGCAGATGAATTTTATTTCATACTGATAATAGAAACTATTTACATACATGTAGTGAAAAAGCTGCAAAGGAAACATTTTTTTGTCTCTGATCCTCTGATGTAAAATCAGGGATGCAAGTCTGAGTAGGATAAATTTATTGACTCTGAAATGCTTTAATAAAAAAAAAATTTCACCTACTAAACAATTTGTTTTTCCTGCATAATTAACTAAAAGTACAAATGTACAGTTTATTAATAAAACCATCTCAAGATGATTAAATACGCTAACCTGTAACCTAATCATTTCTGACCACTGACACAGTATCTGTGTCACAATGAAAGAACTCCCTACTGGAATTTCCATGTGATTATCAAAAGTCTTGAATAAGCAATAGCTATTCGTTTTTTTGTTTTGTTTTGTTTTGTTTTGTTTTGTTTGAGACAGAGTCTCGCTCTGTCGCCCAGGCTGGAGTGCAGTGGCCGGATCTCAGCTCACTGCAAGCTCCGCCTCCCGGGTTCACGCCATTCTCCTGCCTCAGCCTCCCGAGTAGCTGGGACTACAGGCGCCTGCCACCTCGCCCGGCTAGTTTTTTGTATTTTTTTAGTAGAGACGGGGTTTCACCGTGTTAGCCAGGATGGTCTTGATCTCCTGACCTCGTGATCCGCCCGTCTCGGCCTCCCAAAGTGCTGGGATTACAGGCTTGAGCCACCGCGCCCGGCCAGCTATTCGTTTTTTTAAAAAAGAGAAAGCAATAGGGAAAAAAAAGTTGTCCAATTTATTATTGAGCTACATATTTAATCCATAATAATCAATGGCAAACAGTCTGCTACCTCAGTAGAAGTGTGGACATCCTGACAAGGTATTGCCTTATCAAAACTAATATTCTGACATTCTATCTATGTGTTGCCTTATCAACATTAATACTCAGATATCTCAAACTCAGTGTATATAAGAATCACCTAGGAAGCTTATAAATGTAGATGTCTGATTCATAAACGTCGGATATATTTTGAGAAAATCTTTAGGAAATTCTGATACACACGTAAGAGTTTTAAAACCACTGCCATAGTTTAAACAGAAAAAAAATAGGAAGGAGAACTGGGGTATTATGTCAAAGAATGTTACTGGACCTACAAATTTGTTGGGTTTTTTGTTTTTTGAAAAAAATTAGTAGAAATAAAATAGGGGAAAGTTGAATATACAAGCTACACAAAAACAGAAATAATAGAAATTGAAAAGTAAAGCATTTCAGAATCTGTGTTTTAACAATATTCTCTTAAAAACAATGTAATATTTGGCTGGTCTTTGGTTGTAGTATATTATATAATTTATAAAATTATAAGATACTGATAACTCACAAATTTAATAAATCTCTCCTTAAAGTACCAAAACTGACTAACAATAGATGTACATAATAAGCAACACTAAATGTCAAGTCACAGAGAAGCTTTGCAGTACAACTTAATTTAAAATTACTAAATAAGTTAGGAAAAACAAAAATAATGTAGGTAGAAATGTCAAGTCTTCACTAATTTATAAGGAAACAAGCTTTGTCTGCCATCTAGAAAGTAAAATTAAATGAGTAAAGAATGATATCCAAAGGAAAAGAACAAATCTGGTGCTTCTTTCACCTACTATGGAGAAAGTAAACAAACTTCCCTTATGTCATAAACATGCTTTGTCTCAATCTTGTTTGTTGAATATAAACATGGTATATCATTTTATTCTGGATGAAGTTGTTTTATGAAATATCTCATATATTTTATGAGCTCATCATCATTTTATCTAGTAGTTTCATACTTGAATAGATTTTAAGTTCATTTACTGTGTTAATTTTGTCTTTTAACTAGTGTTATCCTAATTTAAAACACAGGGTAATTTGTTAAGTCATTTTCTATTCAGAGAAACATTTAAGTATCTTTTTGAGTAGTTATACGCTTTTCTAAAATGTTAGAGTGATGACCTTCTGTAAAATGAACAAAAATTATTATTATCCTATGGGGTCCTGAATATTGCATTAAGGGAACTGAATCTTGCTTAACAGGAATAACACAAAGACAATTATAAATTAAAATGTTTATTAACCATAAGATGGCACAAAATGAAATTTGGCAACTCACTAATTAATAAGTCTATTGATCAATGATGATGAGCCCATAAAATCCAAAAAATAAATTTTATTTTATTTAAGCAAAATTTCCCCCCATAAACTTGATGCTCATTCATGTTGTTGCTTGGATGGTACCTGCTATCCTGGTATACTGCAAAGTAACTTCCTCAAGACTCAAAGACCCACCAAGAAAGCCGTATCACAATTACGTTGAACCTTTCTGATCTATCCTATTGCTAACTCAGTTTTCTTTATATAATCTTCTTGTATTTTTTCCTTTAAGTTTAACAGCCTTTTGTTCCCTAATTGTTTCATGGATGCATCTCTTAAGTATATAAACTCCGTGGGCAGAGATCAAATATTCAGAAGAACAAAACAGTATTTTAGAGACAGAAAATATTTTTGAGATTCATGTTAAATTTTCTCATATACTTCTTATGACACGAATAAAAACAATTAATTAACTTGTTCAAATAGCATAGCACATAAGTTGAGTGTAATCATTACATGATGAAATTAGAAAACATTACAATTGTGTTGTTGCCCAAAGTTTTTAAATACAAACAAAATTTTAATGATAAAATTATGTGTAATTCTGACATTTAAAACTACTACTTCACTTGAAAGAGCTATGTTTGACAATTTCAAAATACTTATAATTAAGGAGATGCAAATATTTTAACAATTTTAGTTTATCTTAAGTCTTTTTTGAATAATGATATAAATGCATGTAATAGACAGTCTAACTACTATGTTCCAGTTTATTTTTGGGTATTTCTATGTTTTTCTTTACGCTTATCTGTGTTCTGGAGTTTCATATATATATATATATATAAAATATATAATATAATATTATATATTTGTGTTCAGGAGTAATATATAATATGTATTATATGTAATATATTACATTATATTTACACATATAATATATAAATTAATTTTCAGTCTTAAAAGTTTAAAAAATTTACACTAATATCACTAAATTTATACCTGTCATAGTCTGTTTCAGACTATCTATATATATCATCAGTAATTATACATGTCATATATTATTAATTATATACAATGTATAATTATATATTTTATATTTATATATGATCTATATATGGCATATATAAATATTTATAATTTGTATATATTACATTATACATAAATATATTATATATTATATGATATAAATAATCATATGATTTATATATAAATTATATATTTAAAATCAGTGATTTTTATATATATAAAATAATATATATAACCACAATTTTAAAAATAGTTACAGAGTTAACAGTTGGAAGTTATTTAATTTGTATTCTATTTCATAATATACCTTGGTACTGTATTTTTTTGAAAGTTCATATATTTAAACAATAACGAAACACAAAAAGTTATAAAGATAACTCTAGCCAAATCAAAGAAAACAAAGTAAAAGGAATATTTAGTGGTCTATTTTATGAAAAGGCTTTTAATCTAACTTAAATTGCAGAAAGAAAGGAGAAAAGAACAATTAGAAATGACTTAATGAGAATGATATTGCTATGATTTGGATATGGTTTGCTTATTCCCATAAAATCTCATGTTTAAATTTAATTCCAAATGTGGCAGTGTTGGGATGTAAGGTGTAGTGGGAGAGGTTTGGGTCATGGGAGCAGATCTCTCATGAATAGATTAATACCCTCCCTCAGGGGTGACCGAGTTCTAATTCTATTAGTTCCTGTGAGAGCTGGCTATACAAAAGAGGCTGGCACCTGCCCCCGTCTCTGGCTTCCTCTCTCACCATGTGATTTCTGCACACTCAGGCTCCCCTTCACGTTCATCTTCTGCCACAGGTAGAAGCAGACCAAGGCCATCACTGAATGCTCAGTCTCAAACTTTTCAGCCATCAGAATCATGAGACAAATAAACTTTTTTCCTTTATATACTATCAAGGCTTAAGTATTCTCTTACAGCAATATGAAAGAGACTAAGACAGGTATAAATTTAGTGACATTAGTATAAATTTTTAAAAGTCTTTTAAGACTGAAAATTAATTGGCCCATTAACCTCTCAATAATAGAAATGCAAAGACTTTGAATTCATGTGCTCAATCTAAATCAACAGCCTCTTCAGAACTCTCTTCTATAGTAAAGATGAAAAAGAAAGAATAAACATCAGAGAGCAGCTCAGATACTGTAGTGCTAGGACCAAAAGTTAGAAAAAACAATTGGTAATAAAACAATTCATATACTTATTTCAAAAGGAAGGAAAGAGTCACAAAGATGTCTACTGTAGACTATACAAACCTAAACTCATCAATAATAGATTCTAAAAGATATGTTAATTGGCTTTTTTTTAAGTCAGGAACTCTAAGTGACTCATAACTATTATTTGTGTTTCCTCCCAGATAACTGCCTAGTGATCCTAAACTCCCTTGCTGTAATATTAATACCAAGGCCAAAATTAAGCCAGACTGTTTTTTCTTTCACATCTTTAGATTCACATAGTCTTTTCAAATACACTACTTTAAATAAACTATGAAAAAATACCTAAATGATGGTAAAAATAAGTGATACGCATTCACTTAGGCTTAATGAAAATAAGTAAATTTTCAACAATATAAAACATGAAATCATAATTCATTACATACCACAGCACTCAGGACATTTTGGATGTTGCTGGACATTCATTCCATACCCTGGAAAGCAGCGATTAATCCAAACCATTTGGAGAGTACCTTCAATATAGTATATTTCAGGTAATTGTTCTGCACGTCTGCCAAGAATTTCTACTTGTTGATTAAAGAATCTCTCTATGAGATTTTTAGCCTAAAATATAAATACAATTTGATGAATTGTTAGCCATAAAAAATGTAATTTTAGAACAAATAAGGATGCATGTGGATTTACAATTTGAAGAAAACAAAGTCTCAAAGTCGTTATTTTTTCTAGCACTCGTAGAATATAAATAAAACACACAAAACTGAAAAGATGTCATCTATACACATCAAATATTTCTAAATGTACTTCCAATTACAATGCAAAGAAATCATTTGAAGATATAACCAAACTTTTTGGTCCCTTTGTATTTTGAATAATATATGGATAAGTATATGAGCAAAATCAAGAAAGCTCTTTGAAATTGATTGAATGATAAGAAATGTAATGTACTTTAAAATAAAATATTATAAGCATCTGTAAGAAGCTTATCCTGAGGCACAACATCAACTCTTTTCACAAAGAAAAATTTAATTTAAAAACAAGAAAAAATATAACACATTACAACTTCTAGCTCTGTTTCAAAAATTAAGTCAAAAAAGCACCATTCTGATCTGTAATTATCTGTATGTTTGTAATAATTATACTGGCTTGCCTCCTAAAATTAACAAGAGCCTTAGACTTCTCTGACTGCTAAAATCTATGCATTCATGTATGAGGTATGCATAAATTCAAACTGCTACAAGCTAGTTAGTTCTACTCCACTCTGCCACACTAATTTGCACCTCCAATCTAGTCAGGAGCAGGGATAAATGGACCACACAGGCTGATCTATAACCACTAATGGTGCACCTCATGTCTACTGAGTTCTTCCAATATCTTGTAAGTTACACTCCTTCCATTACAATTTCTATAATGCCCAGATTCTCCCATGCAAAAACACCCATAAAGGGTGATAAAATAACTGTTTCATACATAAAGTAACTTAAAATACTGCATAAAATTATTTTCAGGTTATCTGTATAAGGCAGTGGTTCATAACCTTTTTGGTACTAGGGAATGGTTTTACGGAAGACAGTTTTTTCACAGACCAGGCTGGCAGGATGTTTTTGGGATGAAACTGTTCCACTTTAGATCATCAGCCATTAAGATTCTCATAAGAAACGTGCAACCTAGATCTCTTGCATGTGGAGTTCACAATAGGGTTTGTGATCCAATGAGAATCTAATGCTGTCACTGATCTGACAGGAAGTGGAGCTCCGGCAGTAATGTTCGCTTGCTGCCACTCTCCTTTGGCTGTGTGGCCTGTTTCCTATCAGGCCATGGACTGGTACTAGTCCAAGGCCGGGGGATTGGGGACCACTAGTATAAGGTATATATGAAACATAAATAAATTTTCTATTTAGACTTGGGTCCCATCCCCATGATATCTCATTATATATATGCAAATACAGCAAGTCCTCAAATAATATCCTTTCCTTCAATGTCATTTTGTTATAATGTTAAAGAGAAAAAAATGCTTCCCAGCTAGGCCACTGTGCACATGGAGTCTGCATGTTCTCCCCATGTCTGCATGAGTTTTCTCCAGGTACTCTGGTTTCCTCCCACATCTCAAAGATGCATGTTACATTAATTGGCATGGCTAAATTGTCCCCCTAGGAGTAAGCGTGGATGTGTGTGAGTGCACCCTGTGATGGAATAGTATCCTGTCCAGCGTTGGTTCCCACCTTGAGCCCTGAGCTACTTGAATAGGCTCCAGCCACCAGTGACACTGAACTGGAACAAGTAAATAATTATCATACTTTGTTTTCATTATTCTTTCTTAAATATATGTGTTTCTCACATTTATTTCAATGTTTAATATTAGAAGTGTTTTGGGTCTTTACTTTGAAATGTGGTTACATTTTTGCAACCAGAAATATGCCAGAGGAATTTAACTCTCATTTATATCATTGAGCCTGTGGTAAAGTTGTTTTGTTATATGTCATTTTGCTTAAAGTTGCAGTTTCCAGAAGTCTATTGATGAAATTAAGTGAAGACTTACTGTATTTCAAAATCTGAAAATATCTGAAATCTAAAATACTTCTGGTTCCAACCATTTCAGATAAAGGATATTCAAAATATGTATAAATGTGTTATGAAAGTAATTGCATTTAAATTTGAGACTATAATTAAAACTGTCAGGAGACACACTCCTAATCACTCAGATTAGGTCATACAGAGCCTAATTAGGCTTCTAATACCCCATGAAAAAAAAAAAAAAAAAACCTAAATGAAGTTAGACCTGAGAAAACCTAGTGATAGATGCAGGAGGCAGATAAGGGAGGATCCCTGGAGAATCCCCGACCTGCCCCACAAGTGTTTACATCAGATGCTTTTGTGCAGATGTAGGAACCTGCCCAGGGTCTTGTCTGTGCATGCTGGCAACAGACTGGGGGCCTGCCTGCACACTGGGAAAAGGGGGTGCAGCCAGTGGGGATTCACACCTTAAGCAGTGAGAAGGGTCCTCTTCAGCTCATATGTGTGGTGATCTGGTATTCAATCTGTGAGTTGGAAGCCTGCTGGCAGAACCCCTTTTTTTTCACTGAGAGCTTTCTTTAATAAATTCCGCTCTCCTCAAATTTTCAATGTGTCCATATGCCTAATTTTTCCTGGTTGTGTGATAAGGACCTGGATTTTAGCTGAACTAAGGAGCAAAATATCTTGCATCATTTTGGTGGCCCATGTGGGGACATGAGGAAAGGTGAGTAAAATGCAGACCAAAGCATCTTTTCCCCTCTTGTATCTGAGCCTTTTTGTCCTTGGACTTCTGAGAGTAGAAGAAACTGCATCCCCTACCCACCATTGCTCTTGGGGGTCAGGAATGTCAACCTTGGTCTAACCTAGCCTTTTCTATGGCATTTTCCTTCTTTTTTTCAGGACTGTAATGGCACCACCCCACCCCAATGGCCGCAGGCACCCATGGGACTAAAAGGCAAGCAGCATCACCTGTTCCCCCTTCCCTCCCAGCTGGGGCTGGGGCCCATGCCCAAAGGGTCCTGCATGGCAGGCTGGCCAGCATTCCCTGCCACGTGTGTGTCCACAGGGTCTTCCCCTCCCCTGGCCAAGAGGTCCAGCTCTGTTCCAGCCCCAGGGAAGAAACAGCAATTAAGTTTCCCTCTTTGTTGGAGGAAACCATTTGCACAAGAATAAGAGGTTCTTCCCCCAGTTAACACAGCCCTGAACGTTAAGCTGTTTTTATTTTATTTTTTTTTACGCGAAAGGCTTTTTTCCTTTCAGAAGACATTTTACTAGGCCAGGACCCTAACTATCACTGTTTATATTCTCCATAAAGTTTTATTTATGAAAAAGGATTTGTGAGGCTGGTCTTAAGTTACAGCCAATCTGGAGTGCTTTACATGTCTTTACGGTTCTGTAAAAAAGAGGGGTACCTAAGGATGCGATAATGGGCCCAGGACTCCACAGGCCCTCTATTAAAGCCAGTCTGGTAAACTGGTCAGTGGCAAACTTTGCTGCAGGCCTTCATCTTGTTTTATGTCCTTGGAAGCATGATCTTACTGTAAGCAGGTGGCAGTGCTTTGTTTTAGCCTCCAACATTTTACAATGGCAGCCTGGGTTCAAATCTTGGCTTAGAGGAGTGAGTCCTTTCTGGTTTGCTATCTGTGTGACCTTTGACATTTGTTGATTCTCTTACCCTCCACCAACCACCTTGAATTTTCCTCTCTGAGCACCTGGGAGATTACCTTTGATAAAGTTTCAAAGCTACAAATATTGGCTGTTTGGCATGGATAAAGTCAAGTAATAAGGGATTTAAAAGGATTTTTTTTTAAAGAGCACTCAGCTTAATTCAAAATGGATATCCAAGTTATGAGTATATTTAAAAGGCCTTTATGTTTTTCTCTTCCTGAACTTTATTTTCCTGGAAAAAGATTTTTTTCTCAGCTGACTAAACTATTTTTCTCCATTTTGCCTTGCCAATCTTAATGCATGCATGAGACACCCTAAGATGATTTCTCATGGCCTGGGACTCCTTGGGAAAAACAGAAAAGGTGCCACAAATTCCATTTTGGGAGAGATCTCTGTTTTCTTAAAGAAGCCCCAGGAATTAGAGGTGGATAGATCCCTCTCAAAATCTGTTTTTATCTTCCAGCTATACCTGTTTAATAGGCCCTGGAAACTGCATGCTTTCCTAGCCTTGCTTTAAGCCTTTCCTAGCCTTAGAGAGTTCCATCCAGAGGCCAATAATCCAATGAGGAGACTGGCAAACGAAAAGTCTTATAGTTACTGAATCTTCTTCTGCTGCCTTTCTGTGTAGTTATATATGTGTTTTGTGTGTGAGTGTGCATGTGTGTGTATGTGTGATGTCTATAAAAAACAGCTCTAATTAACTGACTTTAAAGAATGATAAACACTTGGATCAAATATTTTTTAAAAGGAAAATAAAAGCTGTGGTACCTTTTAGTTCACATGACATTAATTTTTGAAAAATAAAAATAGTCTTAAAGATTATTGGTAAAATGCAGATGTTGTCAAAATGTAAATTTTTGACTAGGGTTAATTTAGGATTGTTTTGAATTTGATAAGATAAAGCTAAAAGTTCAAACAAGTTGTGGAAAAACTGTAAAAATTAATCTTGCAAAAGAAATTTCATGTGTGGATACATTAAATTCAACAGGGTATTATATGGTTTGTCTGTAAATTAAGCATTAAAATAAAAGCACAACAAAATACTCTTAATGCACTAATTTGCTCTTTAGCTAAATCTGTAAAGGGTTATAAGAGGTTTTTGCTTTTAAAAAAAATCCTAAGTCATCATTTTGGAAAAATAAATAATATGGAAATTTGGAATTCTTTCATATCATCAAGTGTTTTAAACCTCTAACATACTTAACAGGCCTTCCCAAATCAAACTTCAGTTTCAAAAACTGTCTTTCCTGACACCTAGCTTGATGCTACAGGGGGCCCCTGAAGCATCTAGAAGAGTGATAAACAGTATTATCTGACATGCTTAGGTACATGGGATTGCCAAAATGATGCTTAATCTCTAATTTAGGTTATATTTTATGTAATAGTGTTAATATATGTTCCAAAATTGTATGGAATTTCTAAAA